GTATTTTGTCAGCATTCTAAACATCATGGAATTTTAAACCATGATTGCTTTATTTTTTTGCTAAGGGAAAGAAGAACTTCATTACTAGATAGAGATACACAATCTATATTTACTTGGCAGTAGATTAATCGAAAGTCGAAGCAGAACATAGGCAGCAAGACCTCAAGGCAAGACCAGAGTTCACAGGATGAACTAACAATGCAATGCTAATACCAACCACGAGGTCAGCAATAAAAGATCATATCAGACCACAGACAGAGCCAATATCTAAGTATGGCAGTAAAGCCACGAACACAAGAATCTTTTTCTTATTAAATGTGTCAAAATTAGATTACAAATTAATGCGAGCTAATTGAAATCCGGAAATGAATCTATTAGGGAGTAAAATCCCCTCCAATATTTTTNTACAAAGGTACTGTGCATGAATTTAAATTTAACGGATTCAAAACATAATTAAATTGACTTGCAAGTGCCGAAGTATTTTGTATATTCACCACTAATTTTCGATTGTATATTCACCACTGAATTTCGTTCGTATAATTTTTATCTAGTGATATTTAAAATATAGTATTTTGTCAGCATTCTAAACATCATGGAATTTTAAACCATGATTGCTTTTTTTTTTTTGCTAAGGGAAAGAAGAACTTCATTACTAGATAGAGATACACAATCTATATTTACTTGGCAGTAGATTAATCGAAAGTCGAAGCAGAACATAGGCAGCAAGACCTCAAGGCAAGACCAGAGTTCACAGGATGAACTAACAATGCAATGCTAATACCAACCACGAGGTCAGCAATAAAAGATCATATCAGACCACAGACAGAGCCAATATCTAAGTATGGCAGTAAAGCCACGAACACAAGAATCTTTTTCTTATTAAATGTGTCAAAATTAGATTACAAATTAATGCGAGCTAATTGAAATCCGGAAATGAATCTATTAGGGAGTAAAATCCCCTCCAATATTTTGCTTCCTTTTCTTTTTTTTAGTCAATATCAGATATTGTGAATTCAAGTAAGATCAACTATATAAAAGTGAACTCCTCACTAATATATAGTAAGTGATCTACCAAGAAATAAAATAGAGAAAAAAAATATATTAGATGGGAAATTTTTTTTCTAAGTAACCTTTTTTAAGCAAAAAAAGCAATTTCGTGAAAAAATCATACTAAATCACCATTTTACAAATGTAATAAAGATACAGTTCAGTATTCAAATGATGCACTTAGTATATATGTATTTGTACATTACTTATTTGTGATTAACGCTAGAAGAAAGTAGTAAACCAACACGAAAAAACCCAAAAATAAAAAAATAAAAGCGCAAAATCAACAAACATTACTTAAAAATGCATGAATAATACTTTCGGAAATATTACCGCACAATAAGTAATATTTTCTTCAATAAACATCAAATATGATAAAATTTCATTGGCCAACGGCAACTTAATGTCTCTGTTGAACTTTGCCAAGCTTTCACACTGTTCAAAAGCCTAAACCGTACCTATTCNGCCTCTGTTGAACTTTGCCAAGCTTTCACACTGTTCAAAAGCCTAAACCGTACCTATTCATCATCCGCATTTAACATTCATCTAAATAGAAATCCAACCTTCACAACCAATGGAAACGACAATAATAGAAGATGCCTCAAATCGAGTTAATTGAGAGAAGCATGATGTGCAGCTCAATAAGAGTAAATATTCGAATTTCAGCCTCAATATGACTTATTTTAGAGGGGGATGAGCAGGCAAACCACGTTAAAGCTAGCATGATGCCCCGAAAAACAAACTCAGCCGTATAAATTGGTTACCTATAGTTTTGCATGCCATTTCTGAAATGTGAGCAACCAATATCTCAAGTTCAGTATCTCTCAACCACCCAATTAGCCAAACCTCCATTCAGGTATAAAGACTGAAGACATGTTTACAATCCACATACAGAAGAAACAAAGATCATATTTGGCTCCATATGCCCCAAAATTTGGGACACATCACTACCTACAGCTCAATGAAACAATAACAACTGGTTCGAAGGAAAGCCAACAAGTTTATTGTAAGGCTTTTCTGGTGAAGCCATTGCTCTGTCAACAATTGTTTGTTTTGCGAGACATTATATGCACAGAAGTGGTTGATTAGATTCACAAAAGAAAATGGTATACTTTAACTTACATCATAAAAGATCTCAGTCCCTCGTTCACGGAAGGGCTTTTACCAGTCACTGCATTTCAGAAAATGTATACAGGACAAGCAATTCTATGCACAACCAACTATAAGCACAATGAAACAATACTACGGAAGAACTTGTTATAGCAAGTTTAAGGCATCTTTCGACAGAAAACAGGAAAACACATAATTCAATTGACAGATTCTTCTCAATGTCATCTAAACAATTGGTGGAGATTGTACGGTAGCAAAACGCGAGCTATATGATTATATCGAATTTGACACTCAATTGAGATCCATAATAATTGAGGAGGTACATACTTATACATAGCCGACCCCAAATAGTTGGGATTAAGATTTTGTTGAGTTGTTGAGATACATTCTTGCACAAAGAAATAAAGTCATTTAATCTCTTCCAGACAGAATTTGAATTAGGAATTATCCTATGTTTTCTAGCATTCCAATATGTTTGTCTCACTACAAAAACCTGTGGCTATAAATTGTGAATCTGAAGATGGTTCAGGTTGATGCCAGTGATTTTAGGTTCTTATCCCTGCTTATATGGTTATTGGTTGAGGTTGGTAGGTGCTACCTTGCAAGTAGTTGCAGCAGTATTTGCTTATCAGGCCGAAAACCGGAAAAACAAAAAAGTTGTGGCTGTGGATGTCTAAAAAATCTATTGTATCAAGCCCTAAATTCTAGTTTGGCAAAATAAATTTATGATTGCTTTTAGAAGAAAAACAGAAAGCATTCATAAAATCAAAAGCCCGGTGATCCTCTTTTTAACCAGCAAAACACTACGATACTGCTTAATCATTTTCTACACAAAATTCGTAGCACCTAGAGAGTGGCAACTAGCCCTCCTTATAATCTCTCAAGCAACCAACACATTCTAAAGAGGATCTCCTATAGTCCTTGTATCTATATTTACCCAAGCAAAAGTTCCAGAAGTATCTCAATTTTTACTGAAATTCCCGAATTAGTTAAAATTTCTATAGAACCATAACATATCTTCCTAAATTTTTTCTGATGGGGAAACAGAACTATAATATCAACCTATCTTCCTAAATTTATCACCTTGCATTGCCCATTTCACAATAGTTCTACCAGATAATTCCCAGATTTTCAACGTAACTTCTGAATGGAAATTTATTCTTGGTGTCAAACAATTCTTCACCCCCAAATTTAACAGAACACTCCGATTCCATCCAAGTGCTAAGACGCAAATAATCTGAATACTAATTCTCTTCTAAACCAAAAGTTAAGAGAACTTCTTTTTAGGTGATGTCTCCAACTCCAACATAATCAAAAGTACTTCAACAGAAGCATAATGAAATTTTAGCATCCTTCAATATACAGATTCAATGAAATTCAAATTGTTGTCAGAATATTACGGATAGACCACAACAAAAATATGCAAAGTTTTTGATAGTAAGCTGTGCTACATTTGAATCGCTATATATTAACAACATTTAGAAAAGCAAACTTAAATGTAACTAAACCCAATATGAATTCATGCTAAAATGTGTGTGCCTTTCAACATGCATTTTAAATAACTTTGTATAATATAGGTAGAAATTTGTAAATGGTTAGACCCACCAGTGAAGAAGAAGGTGGGAAGGTTCTTGAGGCAGGAGGAGAAGTTGACAAAAGTTCAACTTGAAACTTGAAAGGACCACCGGTCTTCAAGGAGAAAGTTCTTGTAATCATTGTGGGGCACGAGAAGCCAACATTACTGGCTTCATCAGCACCCTAATTTACAATATAGATCTTCATCCTACAGAATGATGAAGCTCACACCCGAGAGAAAATATAAATAAGGGGAGTGCATCAAACTGATCATGTGTCTGGTGGACCTATGGAAATTCCATCACAATCATATGTACCAACAGGACTCCCTAAAGAAGTTTTAACATAGAAATTTCCAAACAATCCTTGCTTCTTGTGTTCAATTCACACTCTTCAACAAAGTATGCCAATGAGATATTCATCTAACGAGAGATGAATATCATGTATTTGCCATGTCAAAATATGCAATGCTGGATTTGGTAACTGAAAGACTTAACCAAAAAAAAGTGACCAACAGCAGGAAGATAGAATGGCACATGTAAGACTGATTATCAAATTGCAGTATAGGAATCTGCATGTTAAATGTCATGATCAATCATGGTCGCAGAGTGGAACTTACCAGTTAAANAAGTACAGGAATCTGCATGTTAAATGTCATGATCCATCATGGTCGCAGAGTGGAACTTACCAGTTAAAGCCCCAAAAGTTAAAAGCAGCAGCATCACAGTAGGCAAGAAATTAAAAATTGCAAAGCATTACCAAATGTACCAAATAGCGATGACCATGGAGAAGGGTGAAAGAAAGACATATTNCACATGTAAGACTGATTATCAAATTGCAGTATAGGAATCTGCATGTTAAATGTCATGATCAATCATGGTCGCAGAGTGGAACTTACCAGTTAAAGCCCCAAAAGTTAAAAGCAGCAGCATCACAGTAGGCAAGAAATTAAAAATTGCAAAGCATTACCAAATGTACCAAATAGCGATGACCATGGAGAAGGGTGAAAGAAAGACATATATTGTAGAACACGCAATATGATGAGCTAATGCAAGAAACTAACAACATATGAAGTAGAATAGTGATAGAAGATAACAGCAGTATGACCTGTTTGAGACTTCACAATTAAAATCAAGAAAAAAAATTAAGATAGGGAACCACCAAAAAGAAGAGCAGTAAGCTTAAGAACAAGCTGAAATTAGAGATTCATAACATGATTTTTCCGGTGCAAAGAAGGATGAATTCCATTGCAACGGCCAACCAAAATCTCATTTGCACTCAACACCTGCTTCGGCGGCTCGACGAGGCTTGTTTTTCCGCCTGCTCCCATTGTGACGAAAACCATTGGACTTGGTAGAATCCTCAGTGCTTGATCTGGGGCCATTTTCGTCTTTTACTGAATCTGACTTCTCCTTCACTTGTGGATTCCGCTTCCTCTTCTTCCCATTCTCTGCTGCACTTGAACTTTTGATATCTTTGCTAGGCACACCATTCTTTGCATTTTCGGTGTCTTCCTCTTCTATCTTTTCAGCTTCTTCTTCCTCAATCTCATCAACGATTGGTTTCTGGGGCCTTCCCCGTCTCTTCTGTGCAGGAATTTTTTCTTCCTCACCACTTTCAGGATCATCGTGATTTGTTACAGTAAACTTTTTCCCTTTCCCTCTGCCTCTACCCATTGTCTTAAAACTCCAGAGAAGCTCACAGAACTAGTTCATATTTCTGCAAAACATTAAGATACACTCAAGGCATGAACGACAGCTGTTCCTGCAATATCTTAAAACATTTAAAATACAAGACGTATTGTCATATAAAACACAACCTTAGGGTCTTTGAATATCTTTTGTGACAATAAAATAACTCCAAAATATTCTTCACTAACCCCCCCCCCCCCTCC